CATAATTAGTGAGCAATATGAGAGTTATGACTGGCTCAGTGGGACAGATCAAAATTTTGTTAACATCCAGAGTTGAACTTGGAGGGAAAGTGGATAGTGAAAAAAGAAATGGAAAGAAATGAAGGAAGAATGCCTGGGAAAGTGAAAGCATGAGACTGGTATAAAACCTGATTAGAATATAATCTCCAAAGAAAATGAATGGGAAGTGGATGTAAGGAAAGATATTGAGGAAACTTCTCGGAACAAGGCACGAAGAATTATGCTACAGAATCCCACAAGTATGTTAACAGGAAAATGTTTGGTGGAATAATGAAGTTATTTTTTTTCTTACGAATTGGAAAAATATGCATAAAAGAATGATTGCCATGAAAAACAGAACAGAAAAATACTGTATAATATGTTTAAAGGGGGAATGATAATTGTAATATAATCAAGGAGGTAAAGGGACAGATAATATTAAAAATCAGAGCATTGTTGATGGAAATGAAAACTTTTTGAGGTAATAGATGAAAAACCAGCAATTTGAATATATCCTTGCTTCCAATGAGCATTCTGGCTTGATCTCCTGTATTTACTGAATGGATGGTTCTTTTGGTTGTTCAAACAGCACAAAGCAACCTTCTCTGACACCACAAATTAAAGGAGTCAGTCTTTCTCTTGTTCCTGTGCAGAATCCATAGTTGCATGCTTTCTAACTCTTTTACTTCTATAGTATTTTAACTTCTTCCCACAATTATTCAGATTCTCAATCCACTAGGCCCAGGTTTAGTTATAATTTTATGGAATGAATTTTAGGTATTGGGTTTGGAAATTTTCTAGACTTTTTCTGTCAGATATGTATTTGTATTGTTGTGATTAGTAGCTGGTAGACTGATACCAGCATCTGTAGCTGGTAGACGCCTCCAGCATCTGTATCCATAGTTCAGCAGAACTTTTCTATATCTTGGTACATAATCTCTTAGATTATGGTGTTGTCCATTTGGAGATTTCCAGGTGTAGAACCATATTTTATATTAAAATAATGTGTTAGACTTCTATATACCATAGAAAATGGGCTCTGCATCACTGTAGGTTTCTAATCTAGTTTAATCATATACGGTTTTCTCCAACTTTTCTTTTAAAGTCACAAGAAATTATTAGAACATGCTTCTTTGGTACTGAATCTATTATTTCTGGTAATTTTCCATATAATTATTCATCTATTTCATCGTTCACTGATGATGCATATACCTGTATAATCAAGAAACTGAGTGGCCATCCTTGAACGTTGATAAATGCTCTGTTGGGGTTCACTTCCAGAATAGAACACTTTGAATTTGTCTGATTGGAAATGTCCCATACCTGTCTATTTTAGTTCAGTTACTCATAGAATCCATTTCCTAATCCATGTCATTTCAATTTTAACAAAATCCAGCTTTTCTTGCAATCATTTCATGTTTCCATCCTAAAGTTTTTCAATCAGCTCCAAGCTCCCCCGTCTACAATCAGCATCTTGATTTTCCAAAGGCTTTGATGCAATTGTTCATACTGTCTAGACCTACTTCAGAATGGTCTTTGTTCTTCTTTGTAGCCAAATAGTTACCTCCAGACCTGGGCCCCTCATCTTTAAAAGCAACATGATGCTATTTTTTGGTGAGCTTCTTTCCATGGGTTTTAATGCTATTTGTGAAGAATTATGTGCTATTGCTTTCTTCCTCAGAGTTCCTCAGCCAATAATTACTACAATTTCACCAGTGGCTACTGGTCATAAGCCTGTATTTCACCTTAGCCCTATGCCAGTACTGTCTGCTCTGCTACCAACAGCCAGGAAGATGGACCATGCAGTACTTCTAAAGCAGTCTTGAAACTGGTCATGCCCATCATAGCAGTCAATTTATAAGTAGTGCTTAAAATTCTAAGTGTGCTTACCAGCCTATAACATTTAACAAAATAACAATCCCAGATTTATTACACTCTATAAGAATGGATAGTATTGATATATATCTCTGTATTTATCTGCGTGTATGGGACAAGTCCAGACATAATGTCTTAAAGAAAATATACTGAGGCACAGAATGTAGAAATCTATAAATTAAATCTATAGGGTTGCTCAGACCAGAGTAATCCATAACTTCTCAGTGCTTTTTATTAATGAATATCTGGAGCAAGATAAATGCAGCTCTTTTAAAAACTTCTTCCCCTGATCTTTCTTAGTCTCTTGTATTTACTTAGCTACAAGCAAGCTGCACTATATTCATTGATCGTGACTCCAAGTGAATGTATATATATGAATGCAATTTACTCTTAACAATGGGATATGTTTAATCATTCCTTGACTATTCTGTCTCATAATCAGGGTATAAGCATTGCCCATATATATTTTGGAACTTCCTGCTCAAGTTCAGCAAGATTGTCAATCAAAAAACAAAACCCCACAAACAGTGGCTGTTAAGTGTAAGTTTCAGTTGGTTACTCATCAGTTTTTAGAGAAGGGAGCTGATACCAGATGCTAGAACAATTTCCCAATTGAGAAGCATCCAAGCATAGTCAAACAAATGCAAAATTTCTCAGGACTGGCAAGGTATTCTCAAATCCCTCATTGACATTACACAGATCTGTAGTGACATGCCCTGAATTTAATTGATTTCATTGCAAACAACCTCTGTTTTTCCATTGAAACTATGCTGCTTTTTACTTATTTGTCATCTTGTAGAAGAAAATGCTTTGTCCTAAAGTTTCACAAGCTCACCAGACTTGGTACACTACAGTTATAGATAATTATAGTGTTTTTCAAAGTTTAATCTACAAATACACAAAATACATTAGAAACACTCATGATTCCCGCTGAACATGGTCAGTGACTGACTGAAAGTTCTTGGAGCTGTGACTTCCAACACATATCTGGGGACTATCAAATTAGAAAAGGTTTTACTGATGACATTTCAAACATATAAAATGACCAGCCCCATCTACACTCTTTGATGAGATGATATTCAAAGCATATTTCACATCTTTTTAAACAAATGTCCTTTCATTGAATTTGTTACTATTACAGCTTTTTACAGAATAAATAAAAAGCAATTTGGCTTTGTATTTTGTTCTTTGTACAACAAAAACGTCAATCACACTGACAAACATGGCTATTATATAGTATTAACAATATTGACAACATAGTCTTAAGATGTCATCTTATCTGCCAGCAACTGTTTTGACAGTTTTGGATTTGTTGTCATGGACTGCAAATGGTAATGTATGACAAATTTAAGATAATGATCACATTATCCTTATCTTAAAGAAGATGCATTGGAAAAGCTGGATTGTATCCAGATAAAACCGTCATTAGATTTCAATGAATTTACATAAAAGCAATTAAATTAAGAACATCAGTTGACTCCGTATCCTTTTTCCTTCAAGTGTTTATTTTTGACTGAACATTTATTTGTTATCAGTTATGTTTTATTTGTCATATTATGCAAACTACTGACCATAATAATGAACTGAACAAAGCCAAGATCCAGCTCAGTGTCTTGAAGAAGAAGAAGAAAAAGGCACTTTAAAAAAGAGTTGATAAATACATGAAATCTTAATATTTGCAAATATAACTGGGAATGTTTTCAATCTTATTGAAATTCTTTATCTCATTGAGATTCTTAATAGCTAGTGGGAAGATGGCAGGAAGCATCAGAAATCATGATCAAATATCATGATCAAATATCAATGCTGCACTGACCATAACTTGACCAATACAACTAATCTGAAGATTATTGAAATTTCAATTCCATAAAAGTAACAGGCTCCAAACTTAGGATACCTTCTTCAAGTTAGCCCATTTGAGGTACCTTGGTTCAAAAATTGTTACCCTGTGATCAGAGGTGGGTTTCAGCAGGTTCTGATCAGTTCTGCAGAGTAGTTCGGAGAACCGGTAGTAAAAATTCTGACTGGCCCCGCCCCAATCTATTCTCTGCCTCCCGAATCGCAGCTGATCAGGTGGAAATGGGGATTTTGCAGTAACCTTCCCCTGGATTGGAGAGGGAATGGAGATTTTACAGTATCCTTCCCCTGCCATGCCCACCAAGCCATGCCATGCCCACCAAGCCACACCCACAGAACCGGTAGTAAAAAATTTTGAAACCCACCACTGCCTGTGATGCACCATTTCGCCCAATTGAAGATTACAAATAGACAATTTTAGTAGCATACAGATAGATACTAGCCATTTATGTGAAGGGCAAATTTGTGATGCAAAACATTTTACTCACTTGCAATTTATTCTATACCTATTCAGGAACAAGCTTCACTGAACTTGGAAGAAGACTTCTAAGTAAGATCAAGTTTAATAGATATTTTAAGGCTTCAACTCTGGATCTCAGCATAAATACAGTATCAGAGATTGAATAAGGGACAGTTCAAAAGAATTATAGACAGCTCACAGAATTTAGAAGAATGTACAGAACATAACACATCAATTTTTCAAATTGATATAAATCCAAAATGGTGCTTTGTCAGCTACTCCATTCGATATAACTCAGCAAGGAAAAACCTGAAACTGTCTGTAAAATAAATTGAATTAGATACAAAGCTACAACGTCCATTTACAGGTATCACTTTCTGTTAACTTTTCCTGAATAAAAAGGAACTGTTTGCTCAAAAACAGGGAGAAGGCTTACAATTTTTTCACTTGCTTTCTACAAGTTTTTCTCACCTATATTAAGCAGCAATAGCTGATGGGTATCATTGGCATCATAATTTGTTTCTTCTCAGAAACATAAAAATAAAAAGCTTAAAGCAATACCCCATATTTAGATTAAACTGTAAGGTATGTAAGTAATTTAAGGCTTTTCTATTTAGCTAACACGATCAAAACAGAAGCAACCCAGTGACAAATTTTGTTTTAATCTCATTTGTGTTAAATGTTAATATGTACTAACTTTACAAATGTTTTAGGTTTAACAATAGAAAAAGACACTTTAGATCAAAACTCAAGCACAAGTAAGCTAGAGACCTAAGATATGTTTACTCACCTTCCTTCACTCTGAAACCAAGCAATTCGCTGTGCCAACCCCCAACCCCCCCGTCACTTTTTTAAAGTGCCCAAGGCACCCAAGAACAATGGTATGTGATTGGTCAGAAGGGAAGACCTATCATATGACACAGCCCTAATCTGGCCCAACCAGTTCTTAGTTGTGATAGGGCCAACAGGTCTCTTGAGCCGCAACATTTACCCATTATAGTGGAATGTGGTCGTACTCATACCCATTCACCAAACTTTATGAAGTTTCTATTATTACATGCTGTCAAACATTAACAAGTGATTCATATGATCTTTAAAAATAAATCAGGAAAAAAAAATAAGGAGCTGTTATTCGCCTTACTAAATATATACAAAGGAAGCAGCCTTATTTAGAAGACAATAGAAAATGGCATTTAAGGCAGTATTCTGCAGAAGAACAAGAAGATTAAGGAGCTGTATTTATGACATGTTCCTTCCCTTCAAAAGTCTTCCACAAGATATATGCAAGTCTATATTTAAAATGAAATTCAGGAGGGTTAATTGCATGGCTCCATTCTGTCCCATAATTTTAGGTTGTAAACTAGAGGCATGCACATTGGGGGGGGGGTGTAAGTGGGGGATAGAGGGGTCAAAAAAGTCAGTACTTGTGCTGTCACAAATTGACTTTTTGAATCTCGCCCTATGCAGATGCCCTAGCTATAAAACACTGACCCATTTATTGTGTTAATCAGAATAAAGTTGGAAGGGACCTTAGAGGTCTTCTAGTCTAACCTCCTGCTCAAGGAGTAGACCCTATACCATTTCAGATAGGGGGCTGTCCAGTCTTTTCTTAAAAACCTCCAGTGATGAACCATCTACAACTTCTGAAGGCAAGCTTTCCACTGGATAATTGTCCTCACTGTTAGGAAGTTTTTCCTTAATTCCAGGTTGCTTCTCTTCTTGATTAGTTTCCATCCATTGTTTCTTGTCCTACCTGCTGGTGCTTTGGAATATAAATTGACGCCCTCCTCTTTGTGGCAGCCTCTCAAATACTGGAATACTGCTATCATGTCCCCCAAATCCTTCTTTTCTCTAGACTGGTCATATCCAATTCCTGCAATGGTTCCTCATATGTTTTTGTCTCCAGGCCCTTAATCGTCTTAGCTGCTCTTCTTTGCACTTGTTCCAAAGTCTCAACATCTTTTTTGTACTATGGTGACCAAAACTGGATGCAGTATTCCAGGTGTGATCTTATTAAGGATTTATAAAACAGTACTAATACTTCATGTGATTTTGATTCTATGCCTCTATTTATACAACCAAGGATTGTATTAGCTTTTTTGGCTGCTGCCGCACCTACTGGTTCATGTTTATGTGATCATACACTAGGACTTCAAGGTCCCGCTCACACTGTTTTTGACCCAGATTTTGCCTAATCTGTACTATAGCTACCTTTAGTGGTAACTACGGCTGAGTTTAAAATGCAATTCTATGTAGGGAGTGTCTTTATAGAGCCTTGAAGAAGATCTAGAAGCTCCAATTAGTGCATAAAGTAGTGGTGCAGACAGTTATGTGCGCATCCAAAACAGCACATATCACACTCTCCTCCATGACCTGGACTGATTGCCAATTTGCTTCTGGATCCAATGCAAGATTCTAGTTTTAACCTTTAAAACCCTTCATGGCATGAGACTGAACTATCTGATTGCCTCTCCTTATATCAGCTGAGAACTGTTAGGGAGGGACTATTTTCACACTCATTCTCTCACACAAACTATCTGGATTGAGTTAGGTGGTCTTGGAGCCAGGGTAAAGGAACTTGGGTGACACTTGTATAGCAGGGATGGGTTCTACTTACCTTTACTACCAGTTCGCAACAGGGCTGCGTGCACGCTCTTCTGTGCATGCGCAAAAGCATTCTGGTGACGTCAGGGTCGGTGGGCGGAGCCTCCCTCCAGTTTTACTACCGGTTCTATAGAACTGGTCTGAGCCGGGGGCAACCCACCACTGTTCTATAGCCTTTGGATTAGTAGCAGAAGAATATATCTTCTAAAGTGATCAGTTATCTGTGGTTTCACTATTCTGCTACAGTTAGGAAGGAAATCAAGCTTTGTTTAAAGTGTTGGAATAGGACAGGAGATTCCTGGGTTCATGTCCTTCCTGAGCCATGAAGCTTATTGATGGCTTTGGGGCCAGTTATTGTCTTTTATGCCAGAATAGCTACAGGATTTTGTTGCAGGAAGAATGGAAAGAGGAAGTGCTATATTCTGTCTTGAACTTTTGGAAGAAAAGGAGACTAGAAATTTAACAAATTAATGAATAGATACCCATGTTTCCCTGAAATAAGACTGGGTCTTATTTTGGGGGGTGGGGGCAAAATAAGCACTAGAGCTTATTTTGGGGGGGTGTCTTATTTTTTCCCATGTACAGGAGGCCCACTTCTTCTACTTGCTCGCAATGGGGCAGGAGGCTGCGTGGTGCACTAGTGCCACTGCCTTGAGGCAGAGGGTGGGGGAGCCAGGGTAAAGGAACTTGGATGACACTTGTATAGTCTTTGCATGAGTAGCAGAAGAATATATGCCCCACACTACCTTACCTCAGGGTCCCCGCAGCCAGGCCATCCACACCCTGATACCTGTCTCACATTGTGGCCGCAGCACCAACACACCACACAGCTTCCTGCTGTGTTGCAGCCCCAAGCAAGCAGAAGTGATTTGGCGGCCACATGGGCTCTTGCTGCACATGGCTGCCAGTGCTGCTGCCATGAGGCAGGTATCGGGGCATGGATGGCCTGGCTGTGGGAGCCCTGAAGTAAGCCAGTGCGGGGCTCATGGGGCAGCTTCACCACCACCCTGCCTCACCTTGTGGCTGCGGCACCACAAGCAACCAGATGGAACAGGTAGCCAGTCAGCTGTGCAGGTTCTTAAATAGGGCTTGTATGGGGGGTAGGGCTTATATTAGGTGCATGCATAAAAACATGCTAGGTCTTATTTTCAGGATAGGTCTTATTTTTGGGAAAACAGAATATTTAAAGAACCCATTACTATCAATTGAAAAAAAGAGGCTGCAGGAAAAAAATGTATATTTCCCATCTAAACATCTACATTTCAGGAAAGTGTTGCAAGGGTTGTTTTAATGTTGTGATTCAATCATTCATTTTTTTATTATAACAGAAGTACCCAACCTTGTCAACTTTTAAGATTTGTAGGCTTCAATTCCCAGCCAGCCAGCCATGCCCTAATCCTGTATTAGAGTAACAGGATTTACTTTATATATAAAGTAAATATAATATACTTTATATTTACAGGTCGACGGCCTCTCATCGACCTGTGCGCTCCCACAGAGAGGGCCTCCTCGGGGTGCCATCAGCCAAACAATGTAGGCTGGTGACCCCCAGGGGGAGGGCCTTCTCTGTGGGGGCACCTACCCTCTGGAATCAGCTGCCCCCAGAGATTAGGAGAATCCAAGACCTCGGTGCCTTCCGCTGTGCCCTTAAAACCTTCTTTTTCCAGCAAGCCGGGCTGGCCTAACACTTTTTAAAATGTTTTTAATTGTTTGTTATTGTTTTTAATCATGGGGCCAAATTTATATATATCTTTTAATTGTATTTTAATGTTTGTAATTTATGTTTTTACTTGGCTGTTCATCGCCCTGAGTCCTCAGGGAGAAGGGCGGTATACAAATTTAAAAATAAATAAATAAATAAATAAATAAATAAATAAATAAATAAATAAATAAATAAATAAATATCTCTTTCCATGGATAAGTTAATCATGGTTTATGCGCTTAACTCATTTTTTTCCTGGGTTTGCACATGTATTGAACTGTAAACTCACAGTGTGGGTGGAGCTGCATAATTAACTGGTCTAGAATACAATGAGGTAGTTTGTAATTCAGCTAAGGTCCACAGCCTCAGCGTCAATATGTCTTTCCAGCACAAAGATAAAGTCATTTTTCCCTTTAATTTTAAAAGGCAAAATTATGTTATTTAATGACTGGGTGGAGTCTAAATTAAATAATAATTCAACCAGTCTACTAGTAACATTTTGCCATAGAGAAAAACGTTAAAAGCCTTCTTTTATTAAGATTTTGCCAACTCATTGATTTTTCCTCCCTGAACACAAAGAAAGTGTAAAAATGAGGAATAATTATGCTGAACTTGGGTCATCAATTTTAAATTATGAGCAACCTTTCAAGTAGTTCTTCAGTTATTTCCATAATAGAACATTTCCATTGTAGTAAGAAGTTGTAATGTTTGTAAAATGGATCTGTCATATGATTGATCTGATTTTGCAACATTTTTTTGCAATGGTTGTTAAGTGAATGCAGCGGTCATAAGAACCCATTGCTCGCTATGGGTGCAGTTTTGTCAATAAACAGAAGAAAATCCCTACATTTAATCGGTATTTAGAGAATGAATGATTCATGAGTTGATGTTTCAGGGGTTGTCATCAGAAGAGAAGCTGCATTCTACTTCAATTTTTTCTAAGCTTTATGAACTCCCATGCTGACTGGAGAATTCTGGGAATTGAAGTCCACAAATCTTAAAGTTCACAAGAATGAGAAACACTCTTCTAGCCGATAGTGAGCATCTACTCCTGGCATAATTTGCAAATAAGTGGTCCCTGACATGTTGCAGTTGATCCTTCATTCATAAGCCTAGGTGTGGAAGGTAGAATGGAATTCGGTCTATTGCAGCTGGAATTATTGGCAAGAGATTGTTTTCTGCTAAACTAGCTTAACAAGCCAATGGCGCAATGTAAGAGGCCAGATTCACTAAGCAGACAATGATCTTTACGCTGTTTCTTTTTAAAACAGAAAGAGACACTTATTGGATATGAGCACACTGTGTCAGGGAATGCCATTGCATTAAACAAATTGATTAAATAAATTGACTTGGTAGAACAAGCAGATGAAAGTATAGAAATAAAATTATAATAATAATAATTATAATAATAATAAAAAAACCTTCAGCCTTTGACTGGGCTGCCTGTTGCATGAAGCAACAGTTTGTTTAGCCAAGGTATGATGAATAGATTGATAATTGTCTGATTTACATAATACATATACCACAACATAGTACATGACTTTT